CTCTTACCCTGAGGAATGGGTCTGCTTTGATAGTTCCAAGGGACGTGAAAGCAGATACACAACTGAGAATCCCTTTTAGCTGCCAGGAGCGCTGCCTGAGAGATTTTTTCAGATCCAGGACAAACTAGGTCTCTCTTACCCATGCAAGATTTGCTCTACTGTATTGGCACTCTCCTGCAAATCACAGAATCTGAATAAACTGCTCCCTCTTGTTCTGTTGTTTTGGAGGAGGATCTGGCTTTGGAGCTATTGGGAATGAAACAGAAACAATTAACATTGAATTGTTCTGTTATCCTTATCCAAACAAGAATCTGCACCCAACAGGTATTTGTTAGTACAAACCACAACTGCAGCAGACCCTGTCCATCCCAAGATAAGCTCCCCACTTGCTCAAGGTGCAGGATGCTTTTTACAGGATTGTTTGGAGACAACCTAAACACACTGGATGGGTGACAAAATCAACTGTAACCAAACTGTGAGCACAAAGAGGAAGAACAGTCATAATAGGTCCCTTCCTCAATTTCTCCACTGATACTCGTGATAAGAGAGAGACACAAAGGAGACTCTGTAAAGCTGCCTACCAAATATGAACCTCCAGCACTTGCTGCACCTACAGGAAGATCTCTAAACTCCATAAACTGTCCAGATTGCCAAATTCTTATCATCATCACCACAAAAAAATTCACTACCTAACATCATTTTAAAGCTAATATTAGGGCCAGGGAGCCTTACATGATAAAAGCATTCATATCCCTATTTCAGAGACAGGACAACAGAGACAATCTTGCCCAGGGCTTCAGAGCAGGTCAGTGCCTAGGCTGGAATAAGGAATCTTCCCCCCAGATTCCTTAACCATGTTCCTAGACATCACCTTTCTTCCCTGTCTCATGCTTGATACGTGCAGTAAATCCAGAGGCAGCTGGAAGTGACAAGTGCAGAGGCTGACACTGATCTATTGCACTGTGCCTAGAGCTCCAAGGGATGTTGTGTTCGGTGTTCCTCACTCCTCCACTGTAAACAGGAAATTAATAAAACATGAAGGTAGCACCCTCCATCTCCTTGTGAAAAAAGACAGCAGATTAGATAGCAGCAGAGGAGCAGGGGGGAAGTTCAAAGTGTTTGCCACTTAATGGAAAACTTGCAGGTAATTACAGAAAGTTGTTGTGTAATTAATCACTGTTAAAGTCTAACCTAAGCAAGAGGGCCCTAAAACCAGAAGAACCCAGACTTTCCCAGCTAGACCCAAGGTCCACTTTCCATTCTGCATAAGAATCAGTGGGACTTGGAGAAGTGAGGCTCAGAAGTTATTTTGGATACCAATGAATGCTGACCCACAGAGATCTGTGTGTGCAGCCCACCCAAACTTTGCCTTGTGAGAGCTGTGCTTCTCAGGAAGCCCCACAGCTTTTTGTTCCTTTCTCAGCAGTTTCTGCTAAAGGATCAGCTCTGCTGCTCTTGGACCAACAAATGAAACCTCTCAGCATAAAATTCAGCACGTCCTGGTAAGCCAGAATCTGTCTGGGTTAGCTTAGGCAAGATTTCAGTGGGACCACATGGCAGGGTCAGGGGAGCAGCCTCCCAGAGAGGGACAGGGCACAGCAGCAGTGCAGCCATCCCCAAAGCTGTTATCCCCACTTGTCAACCTGCCTACCGAGCCCTGGGGATGCCTTCTGCCAGCACTGCAGGGCCACTCAGCTCCCAGAGTGGTGGGAATCAACCCAGCAAAGAGCCACTGATGGCTGTGAGGTGCTGTGAGAGAAGAAATCCCACTGAGTCCCTGAGAGGGCTGTGGATAAAGCTCTAATTTGCACTGAGTGAGCAGTAGTGCACTACTGCAAGAATTTCATGGACCTTTACACTTTACCTGGAGCCCTTTCCCTGCTGTGGACAGGTGAGGAGGGTGCTCAGCAGCCATACAAATAGCTCATATTGCATTACACAGGAAAGGTGCACACCATGCAAGACAGCTCACGCCCTAAAAGAGAATCTGGATATACAACTCTTTTATTCCAGTGGTTCTCAGCACTTCATACTCTCTGTGTTTGTTCCTCAGAACAACAGCCTCGGGAAATAAATGAAATTTTCTTTCTGAAGAAGTCACTTGCTGCAGATCCACTACTGCCCTAGTGCTTCAGGCTCCCATTTATTCCAGCTAGGGCTTGGGCAACACAGCTCCTGTCTGTGTGAACATTTGCAACTCATCAGTTTTGACCTTAGGAGAAAACACAGAGCACAGGTTCAGTCTTGGTGCACACCACGAGCCACAGCCACGTGTGGGATGGGTTGTACAAAGGGCCAGGCTCCTCTCACAGCCCACCCGGGCTGAGTGTGCTCAGCTGCCAGCAGCCCAAGGCTGAACACTGAAACCACTGGGTGACTGTGCTGTCCAGAGGGGCAGCCACGAATTCCTACAAGAGAAGACTCCAGAGACAGGAGCCTGTCTTGACTGGCCTCTGCATCTGATTGCAGAAATCTGGCAGGTCTGGTGCTTGCAGCATCTCCTCCTCTGGGCAGAGCATAACACAGGACTGAGGAAAGGAGAGGTGCTCAAACACCAGCAAGTCTTCTGTCCTGGGAGATGCCTCATGCTACCAGGAGAACACAACTCACAGCTCAAGGACTGATCAGAGAAAAGTGTCCCTGTCTGGTTCATCTCCTGCCTGTCCCAGTCTCCTTCGGGCTTGTTTGTTCAGGTGCTGCAGAGGGCACCAGGAGTGGCCATTTCCTAATGAGAGATCAGAACCACAAACCTCTGCCTCAAAGCACTTGGAACCTATGCTGGAAAGTGTGAAGGGGCCAGCTGGGCAGAGACTGCACCAGCACAGCTCTGGGAACACACACTTGGCTTTGGGAGGAGCACAGAAGCTGCAGGGGCTGCACACACAGCCCTGCACAGGAGCTCTCCCCCTCCCTCCCACACACAGGGGCTGCTCAGCCTTTCCATCACAGCCTGGCTGGGCTGGGCTGGGGCAGAGGCTGGAGCCTTCCCGTCTGCTGAGCCCACACCTGCTCCCATTTCCACTGCCAGGGGGAACCACAGATGTTTGCCAGGTTTCCATCTGATCCCTGGGGAAAGCTTGGTTTGTTTGCCCAACGTGCCAGGGCTGCAGTCAGCTGGCAGAGTGGGCCAGTCACACCTGCGTGGCACAGCACAAAGCTGCTCAAACCCCCCTCTATTGACCTGAGCCCCCTGACCTTCCCGGGGAGAAATGGCAAAGCATGGGATACCACAGGCAATGCCCTCTCAAAGATTGGGGTGTCTCCCACAGGTCAGCAGGAGGGGTACTACAAACACAGACACCTCCTAAATTCTGAGAGCCACAGCAACCAGTGCCATCAGGCACAAATGGATTTTTGCAGGGGGGTAGAGTGGCCTTCCCTGGGAAAGGCTCTCACCTTCCCTTGCAGATAGAGGCAAAAGGGCTTCCCACAGGCTGGAGCAATGCTCCCATTCTCCCCACTCCACACATCAGCCAACAGCTCAGGCCCTCTGATGCTCTGGGTGCTCTGGTATAACCATTTTCTGACAGCTGCTGTGCCTCTGTCTCCCCCCTTGTCCCATCACAGTCGCCCCATAGCATTGAGGAAGAGGAACAACTTGCCTTGAGGTCAGCCCCATGTGTCATGGGGGTTTTTGGGAAACGGACCTTGGGGTTTAACAGGGCAGCTCCCCTGTGAGATCTCCCACAGCCAGAAATGAACCTTGAACTCCAGCAGGGCAGGGCAGAATTGTGCAGAGACAGAAGACTAGATAAAAGAGATTATCCTTTTATAGATATGGATTTTTTTTAAGAGAGCAGGAAGGAGCAGGAAAGAGAGGCAGAGTCCAGAGCCTGGTCTGACTGTTCAGATCTGAGGCTACCAGAAATGCTGGCTGCTTTTGAAAAGGTTTCCTGACTCCCCCCATGCCACCCTGGCTGCCTTGCTGGCCTCTGCCACCGAGATCCCACCAGCCCCGAGCTAATTTGGGCTCATGGGTGAGAACACAGAAACACAATAGTGCCAGGAATGAAAAGCAATGGGGAGGAGGACACCCAGGAGACTCATTCTTATCAAAAACCAACAGTATATCAAAGGGGATCTGTGAAGAGAGGGAAGAGCCTTTTGTAAAAGCCACAATTGAGCCAAATCCTGCCGTTTTTACAGGCTGCAGTTTTTACACTCTCTTGGGAGCCCTGTGATGAAGATTGTCCCAAAGGGGGACCCCTGTGCCAGGCCAGGCCATGTGCCAGACACTCTGCACACCGAGCAGTCCCACACCCACGGCACAGTCGCTGTTTGCCCTCTGCACGTGTTTTTTAATTACAGCTTTTATTTGCAAAGCATCTCTTACAGAAAAGACAAATTGCATTACTCTCAGCTTATTAAAATCACACTCAGATTTTCTCAGCTGCTAATTACAGCCAGGCAGCAGTGTCAGTGTAATTAAAGCTGGGATGGACGTTTGGGGATGCAGCTGTCACACAACCCCTTCCTGTGCCAGGCTCAGCTGAGCCCTGCCCAGGCACTGGCCCCCCATGACACCCAGCCCAGCCCAGCCCTGCCCTGCCACGAGAGAAGATGATGCAGGAAAGGCCAAGCACCTCCTCAGCACAGGGGAGGGGTCCCCCTGCACCAAACCTCCCCAGTTACAGCTGGGCACCCACCCTGACCCTGCTGCAGTCAGGGGGAAGGGATACCTGTGGCCTTGGGGTTACAGCACTGAGGTGTGGGGACTGAAAAGGGGTTTTCTCCTGTTTCTGGTGCTAAATGATTGCAATAAATCACACTGCCTGTCCAAGCCTCCATTTCCTTCCATGCAAAACAGAGATTTGGGGCTTCCCTGTTAATTAAGCAGCTCTGGGAACAAACCACACAGGCACCCTTGCTGGCACCCAAACACTTTGAAGCCTGACCGTGGCACACAACAGACCTGGGAGTGGGTTACACATGGGAAGGGGTGAAGAAACTAAGTTCCAAAGACTGAGAGACAAAGAATTGAGATAAAAGAGCTTACAGACCTGTGAGGAGCTTGGAGCCTGCTGGAGAACCAACTGTGCCTGTGCTACACTTGGCCTTGGCAGAAGGGCAGCACAGGTGTGCAAACAGCTGTGTGACAGCACAGCAAGCACCTGCCCCGAGCTCAGGCACCTCAGAGCTCTCAGGGCACACAACCAGGTGAACTCTGAGCAAGTGGGGACTTAACCCCAGCACTGGCTTCCTGCTGCCAAGGGGATGCTGTGGAGAATATCACCTCCAGGAAGATAGAGCGCTAATTAGGGAAAGCAGATAAAGACTGTGTCTCTTTCAGATGAGTTTCCTTCCCACTGAAAGCCTCACAGTTTCAGTGCTCAGCAGGATGTAAACACATCCTTAAATGATTTCCTGGAGCCTAGTTTCAAAGATCAGTCCCTTCAGAAGCAGGAACATGCCAAGATCAATAGCAGACCCAGGAGAGCTCTAAGCATGCCAGCTCCAAACCCATCAGGCTTCCACTACAGCCAGTTACCCATCAGATGCTAAGGGGCACTGCTACCTTTTCATGCTTGAAAAGGCTACCAAGACTTCCTAAGCAATCAGCCTTACTTAAGTACCAAGGGAAAAAAATCAGTAGGAAATTTTACATTTCAGAAACAGCACGATGTGCCTGTGCAATCTATCCTGGAGAGGGAAACCCACAGAGAGAGTTCACAAGAGGAACAGAGCTCACAGATACTGGATGTAATCCCAAGAACAAGGATATGCTCATCTGATCCTTGAATAGTTTTACAGTTAACTCCTTAAAGTCACTAACAGGATGTCCTAGGAAGCAGCTATCAGGTGATCATTTTTAATCCAAGTTACAAGAGAAGAATGAATGGTTAAAACTTCATGTGGAAAAAGCTGAGGGGGGCATCCAATGGATGCCAGAGGCAGCATGTTCATTATATTTACTTGTGGCTCAGTAATGAAACAGTAAAGATAACATATGGAGCTAGCAGAAGATATCAGGAAAATTTCAGTTGTGGAAAACTTGAAAACATCTGTGAAGCAGGGCAAATAATATCTGATTAAATTCAATATAGAGAAATATGTAATGCTTGGCTGTGATAAACCAATATGAAGGATAGATATAGATTGATGGGTTTGAGTTAGAAGTTCCCTACACCACCATTAAATCTCTTACAAAGCTTTGGTGAAAAAAATGCAGCAAGAAGAAAGCAAGAATTTGTTAGCTCCTGATTCACTGGCTCTTATTTAAAGCTTATAAATGAAACTGGGTCTGTAAAGAGGAAAAGTATTCCTTTGAAAAGGATAAAGAGGACAGAGGCAGAGTTAAGAATCAAAGCTGGCAAATCTAGCTACAGCTACGGAAACTTTTGAAAAAATTAATAACTTAGTACAAGGAACTTACCTAAGAAATGACATAACAAAGGTTATGCCCAACACACTGAAAAGTGAAGTGTTTTCAGTCTAGGGTGTTCACTCAAGTACAGCTAACTGCCGCTCCCTTGGAATAGCATTGAAATCTGTCCAAAGAGGAGAATTCCAGGCAGAGGTCATTATTTTCATCCCTTCAAACACGTGTGCAGCATTAGAGCCCGCCGCGGGAACACAATGCCTGAAAAGCAGAGGCAGAATTCCCAGGAGCTCCGAGCCTTCCTCTCCCTACCTGGAGCTGTGGCTGCTGTCAGTGCGAGCGCTCGCTCCCTCCATCCTCCCCACGGCCACACCTGCGCGCTCCGTCCTACCTGCAGCTAAGCGCGATTTTCCATGCGGGCGCTGCGGCATCTCAGGGGTCCTCCCAGCACATCCCTGCCTGGCCCAGGGAGAGGAGAGCCTGTTCTCCAGAGCAGCCGGGCTGTTCCCCTGTGGGTGAGAGGCTGGGTCAGTCCCAGTTCTTGTGCTGGGCACTAGATGGCACAGACGGCAGGGAGCCCGGGCTGGGCGGGCGGCACCGGGGGCTGCCCTTGCCCAGGGCAATGATGCCAGCATCATCATCATCATCATCATCCCACGGGGGTATCCCCCCCACGGGGTGTCCCCGCTGCCACTGCCCTGCCCCTCGCACCCCGTCCTGCCCAGCCAGGGCACGGCCTGTGCTGCAGGGAAGCCGGAGAGCCCGGCCAGGGCTGTGGCATCCATGCCTCCATGCCCTCTGCTGCTCCTCACCAAGCTCGGGCTCGCTGAACATGCCTGGTTCACGGAGCAGCCCTACCTGTGGCTCAAACTGTGTCAAAAAGAGGGCAGGAATCCTCCCTGGGATCCTGTCCCGTGTCACGGTGAGGCTGCACCTTGGTCACCAGCCTCCAGGACAATAAACAGACCCCGGTCCCCCGAGTGTGGACAGACAGGAGGGCCAGGTCCCCATCAGTGGTCCCCCTGGGTTAAGGCCAGGTCTGGGGAGTGGCACCCCAGCATCTTTCCTTTGCCCTGTGGGATCATGGTGCAAAGGAGGGAAGCACTTAGTCACTGCTCTTCAAGCATTTGTCACAAGGTAGCTCCTCTCAAGCAGCTCACTCTTCCTCCTGGTTTTCTTCCTTTTCAGCACTGCTGCCTGCAATCACTGAGGCAGGGCCTGCACTCCAGAGCCTTCCCACCCTCATCTTCCTCAATTTCTTTAAGGTGTGGATGGAATTCCTTACCAATGAACTGTGTGGACTGACGCTATGAGGCAAACGCGGGCTAAGCCACACAACCTGCTGTGGTCAGCACAGAAAAAGCCAAAACGCTCTCTGTGGTGACAAAAAAAAAAAAAAAAAAGCACGGGAAGGTGGAAATTTGTATGTTGGCCTCTGCTGTTCTGACATTAGAAATTCAATTTACTTCAAAGGTTAACACAGTTAATGGCTCTGCTGAAGATCACAGGCTCTGACAGCCTGCCTGGAACGGCTCCATCCCTGGCAGGGCACGAGGGACAGCATGTGAGGGGTGGCACTGAGGAGAGCAGCAGCTCTGTGCAAAGGGCACAAGTGGCACACATGGGTGTCATCCAAACCAAACCTGAGCCTGGCACAGCCCAAAAGAGCTTTTGTGCTGAGCAGCTCAGTGATGCCAGGTACTAATGACAAAGACAAGTGTCCAAGGAAAAGCCTGTTTGCTTTTCCAGCAGCACTACCCTTTCCTGTCTGTCTGCTCATGGCACTGCCCTGCAGACTGCAGTGGGGATGGGGATCACCTAGGTCAAACCCCACAGGGGGAATCCCTCAGGGTGCTGTAGGTGAGGGACAAAATATCATTCAGATGCCTGCACTGTAAAATCCAAATCATCCATGGTGTAAACAGGGCAGTAAGTCAGTTTGGCTCTTATCTTTCAAAGGCTGGAGTGGGTGACACTGGTGACCTGGACAAAACCTGGAGAGAGACTCATGCTAGATCCTGGGGACTGCTCCAGCCCAGTGTCCAGAGGCTGAGAAGTACAGAAGAGCCAGAGAAGCCCCTTCCACACTGACAGACTTGGAGAACTGCTTCTGATCAGCCATCCAAATCTAAATGCTGGGTCACTGGTGTGTAACAACCTGGCTCTGAAAGGTTCCTGGGCAGAGAAGGAAATGCTCAAAAAAGGCTTTTATGCTTCAATTCCCACTCTAAGTTCTGCTTCTTGTACTCTTCAAACATTTGGGTTTTTTTTAGACAAGACATGTCTTATCTTTGGAGATAAATGGAGAAAAAATAGTCAAACTGAAAAAAAAAAAAAGTTTGTCTCTTTTCCAGGTCTCCCCATGGGAGAGGTCTTTGGAGAACATCAAAGTCTTAGTTTGGGAGGCCATCCTCCTCAGCAGGACACCTAATGTGTCATGTGCTGGCTGGACTGGCTTCCCTCTGCCAGAGGCAGTGATGGAGAGCACTGAGCCCCCCTGCAGCCACCCCTCCGAGCAGCCAGCAGCACTTCCATGCCCTGTGTCTGCTCAGGTCACACAGCCTGGCCTCCAGTGCCTGCTCCATGCCCTCCCCCGAGGGCCTGTGCTTGCTCTCAGCAGTTTAGAACTGCTTGCTAAGATGCTTAGAGCCAGTGTAATCTGTGCACTTAGTGGTTTCAAATTCCAAAAGAAGCTTAGGAGCACCAGGTGCTGCCTTCAGCCACTCCTGCATGGGCTTAAGATGGTTTAATTCTTTTATGAAAACATAATTCCAGCCCATAGCTTTCAACTGGGGAGCTTCTAAGCCAGGTTTTCTAAAAGCTCTTCAGAAGTATTTTTACGACACACACACAGAAAGGGATTCCAGAAGGACACAAGATCAGACATTTCTGCCTCTTTAAAGCTGGAAATGTGAAAGCCCCATGGCAAGGTACATTTTAAGTCCTTGCAAGGCTTTCCTCCAATGTTTCTCCTGTCTCAGATCAGCTTCTCAATGGTCTAATGTATGGAGAGGTCCCAGGGCCTTCCCTTCCCTTTTCCCATCAGCCTTGTGAAAGCATCCACAGGGAAGAGCCACCTCTGTGCTCCAAACAAAGGCAGGTGGCTGAACAGAACAGAAACCCCTTGGGACCACAGGCTGCCCCTGGAATTGTCACTTGCCAGCATTTCTTCATTAACTGCACTGCTCTATTTTATTAACTCTCCTGCTCCCCTTTCCAGGCTGATCAAAAGCACGAGGTGTTACAAAGGGAGCCTCCTGCTGCTCCCAGTGACTCTCCCCTTCCTTCCTCTGGAGGGCTTCCCCAGGGTCTTGTGTGTCTGCCAGGGGAAAGCAGAGGGCTGGGAAAGACAGAAAAGGTGTCTGGAAAACACACACAGGTCCAGGTGGCAGTGGAGAGGTGCAAAAGGTGGAAGGAAAGAGAGGGCAAGTGCGAGCCTGGGGCAGAATGTGAGAAGAGCCAGAACTTCCCACCACCACAATGCAGGTGTGTGATTCCATTCCTGACTGGGACAGGAGAGTCTGGGCAGCCCCACTGCTCCCAGAGCAGTGAGGAACATCTCTGGTGGTGCTTTCAGAGCTGCCTGCCCTGCCTTTCTGCCAGGGACTACAGCCACTGCAGCAGTTCAGCACAAGGCTTTGAGTCCAAACCTCACAGTATCTTCACAGCCCACCTTAATTTAATCAAGATAAAATTAATCTAAATAAAATGGGTGCAGTGTGCTCCCAGAATGGAGGTAACAGAAATCTCCCATGCATCTCAGTTCTCTAATGGACTGACCATGAAAGCAGTGGAAGCTCAGAATTTCCCTGTGCTAAGAAGTCAAGGTAATGCCATGTGTCACTGGAGCAGACTGGTGACCTTCCCTGTGCTCACAGCAGTGTTGTCCAATTTCACTGTGACCACAAGACCACAGGGGGTTAATATTCCCTATGCAGCCAATATACAGCCCAGCAAATCTGCTTTTATGGGCACTCTGAGAACTTGATTAATTTGTCCAATAATGAGCAGGCCAGGGTCCATAATTAGGTAGCAAAACTCTGTCCTTTTGAAAAGCCATCACTGCCTCAGACCCAGAACACCACCAAGGGCCTCGTGGGCTGCAAAGAGAGCCTCAGCCACAAGAAGCAGAAGGTTTAAGATTTAATGAATGTTACATGGGCTATTGCTACCATTTCTCCATCAAATGCAGAGCCTCAGCAGTGGCTGCCTGCATGCAGCTGCCTCCACCAGCACTGATGCTGCAGGAAATCCCTAAGTCAGCCCAGCTGATGCTGTGTTCATCTTATATCTCCCCATCTCCCCATCTCCATGTACTCTCTGCAGTCTCGAGGAAGAAATCCCCATAATGGTTGTCATCAGGAGGATTTCTTCCCCAAAACTGCACTATCATGGACAGATGGACCTTCTCCAGGTCTGCTGCTTTGTTCAGAAATAAGCTTACAGGTATTTGGGATATGGAGCTCTCACATGAATAGCTCATGGCCGAACAGTGCATTTGCCCCTAGGTACAATGGAATTAAATCTGGAGCCTGCACTCTCTTTGCATGTATCTCTCCAGAGCTGCAGCTCCCTTCCCAGCAGGAGGCTTGGATTTGAGGGATCTGCCAAAAGCTCAGAGCCACAAGAAATAACAACTTGGGAGCTCAGACAAGCCTGTTTGCAGGCAAACAAAAGCTGAAGCCGTGCAAGTGTGAGGCAGTCAATGCAGTGTCTGGCAGCACAGCCTCACCTCTGCCTTAATCCTCTTTCCCTTCTCCAGCACTAAATTAATCAATTACACTTCCAGCCCGGCAAAATCAGTCAGAAATGTAACCGTCATCGTACACAAGGCAAACATAATTAGGATTGTCATTCGAAGGCAGCTGGCCCAGCATACAGATGAGAGCAGGGCAGGGCCATGGCAGGCAGGGCCATTGGAATTGGGGTCACAGCACGGGCTGTGCCAGGGAAAGGGCAGCAGCTCCAGCCCTGGCCACCAGCTCTGCAGGGAGAGCTGGGCACTGAGCACAAACAGGCCAGGGACACCTGGGGCAGGACACCTGGGGCAGGACACACTCCAGGCAGCCCCTTCAGTCAGGCAGGAACCACAACCTCCCCCAGCCATAGATGGGAGCCCAAACTCACAGCACTGCACAGGGCACAGACCCTGCAGGGATGGACAGCATGGAAATGAGGCCTTGGAAATCCCTGACCATCACTGCCAGTGTGAATTCATAGCTGGGCTTGTTGGATCCCACAAACCTGGGATTTTTGAGCTTTCTGTGCTTTCTGGCACTGACCCCCACTGCTTTTGACCTGAGGCCTTGGAGAAAGCTCCAAATTTGAGTGATGGAGTTAAAAACACGGATGTGTAGTTAAATAGAAGTGTGTGATTTCACATGGTGAAGGGGTTTTAAATTTGAGGTTTTTATAGTGTAGTAATAGGTGTGGGACAAGATGGAGGATTTTGAGTGTTGTCTCCTTTCTGTCTTCTTCCTCCTTCTTCTTCATGGATTCAGGCAGTAGTTTCTGGCTGGACAGTTAGTCCTGCACTGTGGTCACAGGAGTTTGATTATTGGGTCAAAAATATAAATAATATAGATGTTAATTCCCTATTGAACTGTTTAGCTTTAAAAGACCTCGTAGCTAGCTCAATTCACCTCCATTTTGCTCCACTTTTAGCTGGTAGCTGAAAGTGTTGCAGAACTCTCTGTACCTTAGATAAGATTTAATAAACAACCAAGCCCAAACACGAGAAAATTCATCTCCTTCATGTTTTTAATCCTGACTCTGAGTGAAGACAGAAGAAAATGAAGACAAGCCACTAATACAGTTACCACCTTGACAGGGGTGAGCAATGGTTATCCCCTCCCCAGCCTAATGGGAAACTGAGTCACGAGGCCAAGTGACAGCAAGAGCAAGGCAGGAGTGTTCAGTGACAGCATCAGCTCAAGCACAAGCAAAAAAATCCGAGTGAGCCAGAGCAAAATCACCAACCCAATGTGCTCCCAGGTAGCTCCAGGGTGCAGCTGCAGCCCCATGGCTGCTGTCCCAGGGTAGGAGAGGCTACAGCAGAGCTAGAGGAGAGGCAGGGGCTCGGGTAAGCACGACCTAAGGGCTGAAATGGTTTCTGTACAAGCCCAACACTCTTCAATTTGGGAAACAGAAACCTGAGAGGGGACACAGCAGAGGTTTATCTGAGTGTGGCTTAGAGAAAATGAATGAGGAATGACTGCCTGCTGTTTCTTCCAATATTTAAGCTACAAAAGCATCAAATGAAAACCATGAGTGACAGATTCAGAACAAAGTAAATATTTCTTCACACACTTGAACAGTGCCATAAGTTGCTGTGGATACCCAAAGTTTTCTCAGGCTCAAAAAAGGGTTTAGGAGAAACTTGAAAAGATGATTAAATGCAGAATTCCACATCTCAGGAAATTCTTGAACTATAGATGGCTGATGGTAAGGAGAGTACTCAGCAACACACTGACCTACATCCCCTTGTTGTTATCCTCCTCACTGGACATCCTCTATTAACCACTGCTAATTGAGAATCCCAGAGGGAAGAGACCTGTGGTCTCTGTTGTTCTTCTGTCCTGGCACTGATCTGAGCTCTCCTTACTTTCCTGAAAGACTAGGAACTAGGAACATTCCCATTCCTGGGCACTTGGGTGACAACAGGGAGATGTGCTTATAGCACAGAACTTGAGTGAATAGGGAAAGGATCTCTGCTTTCCATTTATCCCATTTCTCATGTTAGAAGCAATTTTTGATAAAATTAACTCAGTCATGCTGCACCCAGCTAGATGCAGTTGGCAGCACCATGTACCCTGCATTCAGTTTAGAAACAAGATAACATCTTTCTGAGAGGTGCTAAAATATCCACAGGGATATTTTCCAAGTCTCAAAGCCACAGCTTGTGGTCCCTGTGAGAAACCCCACAGTTCCCACTCTGTTGTACCAAACAAGCTCATGAGCTGATCTATCTCTGTGTAAAGTTTACAGGTGCCCTTGACACTGCAGCAGAGATGAAAGAAAGGTGGGGACACTCCTGTAGATTGGTATCTCCCAGCTCCTGCATGCTCACCTACTGGCTCACTCTCACCTAGGGCTGCATTAGAGGATGCAGACTCTGACACAAGAATCCACTCTTTCCAAGCAAACCCCTCCCTCCTCCCCTCATCTCAGCTGTAGAAGCACATCCCCTGGCTCTCATGTGCCCTTTGCAAGCACACACAGATAGGGCAGGATTATCTCAGTCTGCAGAGAGCTGTTGGGCAGGCATTCTCCTCCAGTGAAGCCAAGTGGAGCACTGGTGTGTTTCTCATTAGCTCCTGTTATCCACGCTATTGTAGTGCTCCCAGTGCTAGAGCACAGCCGGGGGACAGCTGAACTGCCCCTGCAATCGCTCGTTTGTTAAGAGGATTTGCTCTGTGGCAGGATATTTCCAAATCACATGCAGAGGAGGGGTATGCTGGCAACAGTGCCATCCTCTGAGCCACTTGTGTGCCCTGGCTCTCCCACTGCCTTAGAACAATCCACCTGGTTTCATCCCCACTAAACTGCAGATTGTGTTTCCTTCTGACTCTCAGAGATAAGGTGTGAGGCAATTGAGCCACACAAAGCCATTCTGCTGCTGGACTGATCCTTTGGTTCCAAATCCACCATGGCTGCTGCTCCTTTCAGCAGCACCCAGAGCGGGGCAGGCAGGAGCACAGGTCCTGTCCAGCTGCCAGACAGAGGGAAAGGCCATCTTGCACCCCTCCTTTGACACCTTTACCCCTCCTTTGACACCTTTACCCACTGCTCCAGCACTTTCTGTCCTTCCCTTTGCTCCCAGTGACAGTTCTGCAGCTGTAACACTGCACCCCATATGAGTGATTTTCTCTTGACCCAGCCTCTCTCAAAGCTCTCTGACCAGATTCAGAAGTCCTTACTCAGCATCTACTCCCTCCAAATGGGATTAGCTTGAGTCAGTCTCAGCCATATCTCAAGATCTCTTGATGCTAATTTCCCTCGTGCAGGTGCTTAGAGCAGGGAGGGGACTATAAGATGGACAGTCAGGGCTTTTGTCACATCAAGCACTGAGTAAAATTCTGAGAAGGGCTCTCAGAATCTGGCCTATCATGGTTAGAGAGCTGCCCAAACACTGTGACAAAATTAATGCACTAGCCAGGCTGCTTTAGAGTCCAGCCCCTTTTTGTCTCTGTCTCTTCAAGACAGGGGTCACCAGAAGAATATTTGAAAGAGGCTATCATGATGCAAAGCATCCACATCTCCATCCCCATTCATGGCTCAGAGGAAGGTTGAGAAGGAAAATGATCCTTGCTGGCTCTGTACCACAAAGAGCCATGGCCATCCCCATTCCTCCACAGTGAGAGCCCAACAGACACAATATTCTTCCAGAGATGCATTGGATGATGCACAGGGCAGTGGGAGCCCCAGGTTGTTCTGTAGCTGTGTGCCCTCACATTACAGCCACCAGACACCCCTGCTCTGCATGCAGGACTCACAGGCTGCCATGGGCACCTGGGCTCACTGTGGTGAACAGAAGTCAGCTTATGGCTCCAATTCCAAAAAGTAGGTCAGGATGAGCCACTGGTTCTGCTGGGAGCGTGACCGAGCTGCCTGTAAAATCTCTGTGGCTGGAGATGGGATCCAGGCTTTGTTTTTTACCATCCTGTTGGATGGCAGTGATTTTGTCTGAGGAAAAGCATGTGCTAAACTTGCTGTGCACTGCTGGAGGAGGGAAGAATGCACACAAGGAAAACAGTTCTACCCACAGCAGGTGAGGAACAGTGCCAGCATCTTACTATCAGTTGCAGATGATGGGTGGTGGGCAAAATTCCTGCCACTTTCTAGATTTGTAAAACACCTCCTCTGGGTCCAACAGACTGATGGAAAACACAGCCCACAGAAGCAATCCCTGCAGACGGTGTGTTTTGAACTACTATTAATCTAGACAACCTTCTACGATGTTCAAAGAGTTTTGCCCAGAAATAAAATACCTCCCCAAAACGCCTGGATGGAAGGAGCAGTCTCGACAGCATCCGCGTCTCTCTTTGTCTTCCCCACCGAGCATCTCCCGGCAGAACGAGCCCGGGAGGAGGAGCGGGGCTGCCCGGCCCCGGGGGGCGGGTGCTGAGCCCGGAGCCCGCAGTGCCGGACCCGGGGCTGTGTTCCTGCGGGAACACCGGGAGCAGGGGCAGCCGGGGCGGGGCCGCCCGGGCGGGGCACCCGGACCCCGCCTTCACCTCCCGGCCCCTCCCGGCCCCTCCCGGCACCTCCCGGCCCCGAGCCCCGAGCCCTGAGCCCCGAGCCCGGCCATGGGCTCCCGGCTGAGCCGGCAGAGCAGCCTGGAGGAGGAGAGCGGCGACGAGCCCTGCCCCAGGCTGGAGAGCGGCCGCGGCGACTTCCACCTCTCGTCGCTGCTCCTGCACCCGCAGAAGCTGCCCGGGGTGCTGCGGAAAGCCTCGCCCGCTCCCTACGTGCGGAGAGTGGGGTGGCTGCGGGAGATCCAGGCCACCATCCGGGAGCACAAGCGGGAGCACGCCGTGCACATCCTCCGGCTGCTGAGGAAGGTACGTGCGGGATGCGGGGTGCGGGATGCGGGGTGCGGGATGCGGGGTGCGGGATGCGGGGTGCGGGGTGCGGGATGCGGGCCGGGGCGGGGCAGGGCAGGGACAAAGAGCCGTGCGAGGCCGGGGCTGCAGCCCCAGCCCGGAGAGCGGTGCAGGAGCCCCCTCCCCGGCAATGGGGTCTGCAGCCTTTGCGGGGCTCTTTGTGCTGCCTTCCTCCGCTCCGTGCCCCGGTGCTTTTCCCCGCTCGGTGCCACCGTGCCAGGCGACAGCAGCCACCTCCCCGACCCCCAGGCTGGGCGAGGGACACCTGGCCCGACTGCCGGGGGCTGGCAGGGAGCTGCGAGGGCACCGTGCTGCACGCAGGAGAAAGAGGGGTCCGAGCTTGGGCTGTGCTCATCCACACCCCTCCATGCCAGCCCGTGCGTGTGCTCAGGATTGATGCCCCATCCCCAGAAAGAAGCCACTGCCGCCCCACATCCCATTATGGCCACTCAGCCAGAGTGGCTGGGATATGTCTGGAAAACCCCAAAATGGTTTTGGAGGGGACCTCTGGGACAATGGAGGCTGAGAGGAGAGGTAAAGGGGTCAGTGTATCAGTGGGAGCATGTTTCTGTCTGCCGCCATTCAGGAACAGAAAAGGCAGTGTGCAGACACTGTGGTGCCAAACTGATGCTGAGGACAGAGCCCTGCTGCTGGAACAGAGCCAGCTCCTCCATCGCTCACTGCTACCATCGCTTTCCAGCCAAACTCAGCTGCCCCAAACTGCAGGCAACTCTGTAACTGGTAGCACAGGGGACAAAGCCCACCTCTGCTGTGAACATAAACACCACCAGTTTGTAGCTTATCGTGTTGCTTCATTAGATAACCAGCTCTTTCATCTCGGGAACAGACATTATTTCTTGCCTTAGTAGCAAGTGACCTTTGGGTGTGAGTGCAGTGGAGCAGGGACTGGCTCACTGGGATGTTCACCCTCACCATCAGCTGCAGGGAGCTGCATGAGCAGCCCTGCCTGCTCTGCATGCCCAGGGTTTTACAGCACATCTCACTGTGCTGCTCACTGCCCTGGGCTGCCAGCAAGCTGCACACTCACAAGTAAGAATTCACAGGACCAAAAATTACATCTCTGCTTTTCCTGTCCACTTCTTTAGCATTCACTTGAAGGTTTTTACCAGCACCACACTCTGCTTGCCACACATGTAGACTGATAAACTCACAGCAGAGAACCTCTGTGTGTGCACCAGTATTGCAGACAGGGATTGAATAAGATTTTGAAGGCAGTTTTGGAGAGGTGCTATTGCAAGAAGCTTGTGAAGAAAGAGAGGCAACCATTCACTTTATGGATGTGGCCATGTAACATGAACAGACTTTACCAGGCTATGCCAGAGGCCAGAGCTACAGAATGTCATCTTCTGTAGAGCTCGGCACCTCTCCTGGAGACTGAGGCACTGAAAGCCTCCACAGACCCTGGAGGTCTCCAGAAGGTCCATCAGGGTTTGAATGCTAAGCCACAGGGCCCTATGGAATGGGGGGTCATTTCTAAGCTCCTTTCAGGATCAGTTTAACACTTGGCTTCCCCACATCGGCACTTGAGAATTACCAGTCCTGAACATTCATGTTTTGCCTGCTGCCTTTCCAGTTTCCCATGCTATTCCAGGTCCCCATCTCTGCCTGCCTGTGTTGAAACAGTGACTGTCTGTCCATCTGCTCACAACAGAACAGTGGGACATACATCCTGTAATCACATCTTCTGCCAAGCAAGATGGGGACCCATCCAGCAACACCCCAAAGCCTCTGGTTCACTGAGTGCTCAGACGTTTCAGAGACAGAGTTTACACCACTGACATGTACCACACCCCCAGCTGTCACTCAGTCTGGGGTCATGTAATCACCACCAGTCCTCCTCACATGTCCCATGTCAGCTTCAGATCAGCCTTTTTTCTAAATTACAAATTTTCCTCACTCCACAACTATGTCCATCCCTTGGCTTGGTCCCAGCAGGTTCCTCCTTACCTTGGCAGTGTCACACTCTCGGGAGTCACGGATTAGTGTGTCCCAGCTGAGGGTCTGCCTGTTACCTGTAAAAAGACAAATACCTTGTTCACTCCAGTGGACAGGGAGGATACTTAACACCACACCTCATCACTGTGCCTTGGGCCAGGGTGCAAACACCCCGGGGAAGGCAGAGAAAGGGTGGGACTGGAATTGCAGCCTGCTGAGGTGAGCTCAGCCAGAGTGGAGGATACAGATCCCACGTGTGCCTCCTGCTGCTCCCAGCACGTACCCCCTGCCCAGCCCTGCAGGTGCACCCTGCTGATGAATCTGCCTGTGGTTTTTGACCTGTGCTCTGCAGACTTCAAAAGGCTGTAGACTATTCCTGGGATCTTCAGAGGGTGTGATAATGTAAAGCAAGCAGGCAAGGCAGAAGCAGTTCCACTAACAGAGATGTGAGATCCATTCCAGCATTTTAGAAGACTGCAAACCACAGGTGCACTTGTGCTTTGTGCATGAACACTTGCACAGCTCCATGCACATCATCTGCCCCAGAAATGCCCACCAGCAGAAGCCAGATCAGCTTTCCTGCTGATCTAGGTGGGCATCACTCAGCTGAAGCCCAGGGAGACATTAGACTTACACCAGCAAAAAGTCTGGTATAATCTGTTTTCCCTGTGCTGAGACAATGGCAAAGTGTCATTTTTAAGACAACAGCACTAAGCCAACTGAACTGACAAGAGTTATAATATTCTGCTGTCTGCAGCCACCCTTTAGGTGGTACAAAATTTTCCAAGAAATGAGAGAGAGAGAGAAGGAGACAGGGAAATAACTAAGATGAGCCAGAAAATGCCTCTAGGCTAAGAATTTATGGAATATCAATGTGAAGTGAATATTTACAGCTATATTACTTACAAAACCCTTGCAGGCAAGATTTATAATGGGAATGCAGATTCATCTTAATGGTATAGCTCCAACTGGGGGAGTTTAATTACTGCTCTGACATGCACTGCTGCATGCCCAGCCATGCCATCCTCACAGCAGCTTTCTTCATCTGTGCACATTACACTTGGTGTAGGAGGCTCCATTTCCCCAAAGCCTTATGGTTAAGGGAGACACTGGCATGATGCCTTGCTGGGCTCCTGGCCCATATCCAGCTGTGGCTGTCTGTCCTTCAGGACTGATCCCCTGCTTATGTTCCTTGCCTGCTCACGGGTGTCATTTGTGCACACAGAGTGATGGGGCTGTCAAGTATCTAATTTATTCTCCTTTTCTGTGTCTCTTTGGGATTGTGCTTTCTGCTCAATCCAGCATATCCAGAGCAGGATACAGCACTGGCTTTGACTGGTGCTTAGAGTTAAGATCCCAAACCTCTGCCAGCTATGGCTCTGTCCCTGTTGGTGATGTATGTGCATACATCCAGATTTTTTCCCTCTCATTCCATTTTTTTTTTTTAGCTCTCAGTCACTGGGTGGTGCCTGAAACACACATTCAGTAGAGCAGTGTGAACATATGGGGCACCCATTTGCTTATTCATTTCTCCTGTTAGCTGCATACAGAATGGGGAGAAGACTTGTTTCCTCCCTTAGCTGGGTCCTCCTTATCAACTGAATCAAACCCAGCACTATCCTTACTAGGGAGTTTTTCTCCCTCCCTCGTAGGGATTTTTTCTTAAAAATGTAGAAAGAAGTTTTTCTTTCTACACTTCTGCTCTGAGGGTATTTTTTTTGCCCCTGTGGCACTTGCATGTGAATATGTGATCTCTCTCTCCCACATTTTAAAAAATCTTGTTTGTTTTTCACAGCTCTGTGGTACCTTTTGATTGTAACAACTGTGTCATTATATTAGCTCTTTGCTTTCCTCTTAGCAAGAAACAGCTTAGTTCTTTGCAGTATCATCCATCTGCCCCCAGGGAGGCTTTTTGTTCCCAAAGATGCTGAGGTTTCCTCCAAACGTGTCCCCATCCCCTGGTCCACACAGATAAGTTGGACCACAGCTGTTCCCCTAACTCACACCATGGAAGATGGAAGGAGTTCTCTGCCTGTGGTGTAAAGCCACTCTGAATTTACCATTGCACCCCATAGTGCCAGTGCTCAGTTCTTACTGAGAAATTCACAGCTAAACTCATACAGATGGGCAGGACTTCTGCTTCACCAGGATGTATGGCAGCCTCTAAATACCTGAGAAAGGTCTGATTCTTCCAGAAAAGCTGAGATTGGAGAAGCAGCTTTAGAGCCAGCCTTCCTGCTTGGCTCCTTCAGCAGATTCACACATAGAGGATGACAAAACTGTGTTTCTCTGAAGTTAATTCTCTCCAGGCTCCAGCCAGCCTGGGAATGATAGAATTCTCACCTTCCTGTGGTAGGTGGAAATAAGGTGGTCAGCCTTGGCTGAGTAGCTCAAATTAACACTGCATCTCCTTCAGCTCCCTGGCTGCCTGCACCCCCAGCACAGTAATGCTGGCTCAGACATGGCTGCTTCACCTCTGCTGGATAATTTCCTGTGCTGGGCATCCAGCTGGCACCACATCAGATTTATTTTCTGGTTTCAGAACATCCCATGGATGTAGCTCTGGGGAAGCCTGTGTGCCTGACTGTCTGTTTTTATTGTAGGACCTAGGACTGGAAGGAACATTTCTCAATGAAGTGCTCTACAAAAATGCAACTTTCCTCAACTTGGTGGATCCCATCTCCCATGACCTGCTGATGAGCCTTGCCAGAGATCTGCAATGTCCCAAAAAGGTGAATTCTCCCTCAGCTCAGTGGATGCTTTGTGGCACAGCACTGGTGCAGAGAGCCCTGCTGGGGCAGCTGGTGCTGCAGTCAATCCTCCAGAGCCAGGCAGTGTGTGTGCCCTGGGAGTGACAGCACATGGGTTGTGGGGCACATTTCTGTAGAAATCAGTTAAAACTACCTCAGAACATGAGTGCAGCTGAAGGAGGGGGTGGTTATGTGCACAGAAATTACTTTTTGCCCATAGTAAACTTAGTGACAGGGCAGAGAGCCATGACCACTGAGTGTCACACATAATCACTGAGATAATCCCTGGTATCACAGGGGTTCAAAGCAACTGGAGCTCATGGGGACTCATGGGGATGCAGAGGAGAGCAGAGATCTCTGCAGGTAAACCACCTCTCTCTTCCTGAGCCCTTTGCCATATGTAACTACCTCAACCCAGCATTATTTCCCCCATAAACTCTCAGAGTTCCCCATAGAGAATGGTGCTGCAGGAATATATTGGCACTGGGGGTCCAGGAGGTAAATGTCTTATGTGCACAGTATCCCTGCATGCTCCAGCACTTTCCTTCAGAGGATGAGGAGAGCACAGACAGAAAGGCAGGGCTGAAAACAGACAAACATCACAGATGTCCCAGCCCCACTGCAACTACCAGCATCTATTTCAGTTACCCTTTGCCACCACAAACACTTTGATTTGCAATGTATCCATTTGCTCATTAGGCTTGGCAAGTTCGTGTTTGCTTTATAAGGAGAGGAATAGAGTGAATTTCCTTATTCAAAGAGAGATATTAAGTACACACAGCTCAGAGCAAGCAGCAGTGCCCCAGGGAATACCCTGAATGCCTGGTGCAGATTAGTGGCATTTCTAACCTTGTTCTGCCATCTCCTGAGGCTCACTGATAACAATTAACCAGTCATGTCTCAATAGACAAACTACATTTAGCCAAAGTTTAATCATCATTATTGGGCTACAGTGCAGCCTGAAAAAAAAATTCTTTCCCAGTGTAATGTCTGTGTAATTCCTGTAAGCATCTGAAGGAAGGGGTGGATTGTAGCAGTAGTAGCTTTTTAACCACACTTCACTTGACCTCATGTCCAGCTGTTCTACCAGACCATCTCCAAGCCTGTGCTGTGCAGTGCCCTCAGGGCAGGCAGCAGGAGGGGATCTTACTCTAATCCAGTACCCTGTGTCTGGCAGAGAACACCATTTTTATACACCTGCTTATAGCCCCACTCTGATTTCATGCCTTGTGGATGCACTGACACACGTACCATTACATAAGAAATTATTTTCCCCATTCCTAAGGAAGATGTTGAGCACCTGAGTTGCCCTTCAAAGCCCACAGAATTAAGTGGTTGTAGAAATTCAGTACCTACAGCACCAGCACCCTTCCCAGAACAGCACCAGACCACGTCCCTTCTGCGACCCTGGCTGAGCATCTGGTGGGTGTAACTGCATTACAGGCAGGCAGGCTGAGTGCAATTCCCAGTCTGTCAGTGGAAATTAAATCAGTGAGGACACAGGAAAGAGCAGGAGGGTAACTCTGAGCCAGCAAACCCTCGCAGAGCTTTGTGCCAGCTGCTGTGCTGAGCCTGCTGTGCACGGGCACCCACTTGGGGAGGTTTGCTGTTGTAGATGACAGCAGTGTCAGCTGTAGCCCTGCCAGCACAGGGGGAGTCCAGAACAAGGCACCTAAGCCAAAGGCATGGGCCAGTCCCTGTGGGGTTCCTAGGGAAGCTGGGATGGGGATCAGGGCGTGCTGAGCTGAGCAGAAGGCTGGGATCCCTCTCCCCTTGGCACAGGAGAAGTGCCACGGGCTGGCAGTGCATCCCTGGGGAGTTCAGCTGGTTCAGGGACTGCTGAGCAGAGTCACAGTGCAGCTGTTGGCCCCCAGGGCAGCACTTTAACCTCTTGCAATAAGGAATAAATAAGGAATAAATTCATTCCCTGACAGCTTTACTGGGTGTTCACCTATCACATCCCTAAATGCACGTGTGGCACTGTGGCTGGAGGGCTGAGGGATGGGAATGCGGGTATCTGTCAGCAACTGGAAAATACAATAGAGAGGGCAGAAGTCCCAGTCTCCAGCAGCTGCCATTTGCCACTCTGCTTCACCAGAGGAAGAGGTTCTGTTCCAAGTCATGGCACTGAAGAAGATGTGCAAAAATAACCCAGGAAGGCAGCAACCATCTTTTCCTAGTGCAGGGGCAGGAGGGAACTGTTGGCATTGGAAGCTCCCAAACTCAAGCCTCCAGTAGCAGAGTGGACTGCAAGGGAGTAAGGTGGACTGTGGGCAAGTAGCCAAAATTCCCTGTCCTGACATCTCCCAGCTAGAGCACAGGAGGTCGTGGGGTCAGTGTGCTACTGCAGGGGGAGCAAGAAGCACCTTGGGTATGGGGCAAGGGTGCCAGTCACTGACCTTTCCACATCAGGGTGTCAGACAGTCCAGAGACAGAGTTTGGGGAAGCATGGCAACAAGGTAATTATGAGAAATTTAGCACAAGGAGTTTGCAGTGTAGGGGTCCCTGCAACAGAACATTGTCAGTCCCCCCTGGCACAGCCCTAGAAAATGAACCCCTCTTCTGAGCTTCACTTGTTCCTGGGCAGGCTGTGAAATTGTAGCCCTGCTCTGGGAGGAACATGCTGGCTGGGCTGGGCTTCTTGCTGGCAGTGCAGAGCTCCTCCTGCTCCTCCTCCACCCCAGGAGGAGCTGGAAGGTGGCAGAGGGCTCAGGGCTTCTCACCATTCCTCTTTCATTCTCATCTCCTCCCTTACATACATGACCCTGCTCCACTGCCATCTTTATTCCTTTCCCATCTTCCTCTGCCTTCCTCCTTTTCTCACGTTCTGCTGTGGTGCAGGCAGTCTAAGCTGTCCCTTTTCTTTCAGGAATATGACCCCTGGAAATCCTCGGACAGGATCTGCAGGCAGCTGATTTACCACCTCACCCCGCACTCCAAATGGCACCGGCACGGGATGCCCCGCAGGAAGTCCCAAGTGTGGTAAGGGCCAGGCAGGGACCCCGTGGATGGGCACAGAGGGGGACCTGCCCGGGCAAACTGTGCTGCAGCCAGGCACCATCCCAGCCTGCCACCAGTGCCCTCCTCAGAGAGAGGCAGGGCTGAGAGCACAGCCCAGCCCCAGCACCCCTCTCCTTGCTCTGTTTTGCCTTTTGCTCCTCACTTGTGTGGTGTTAGAGTTCCTCACCCTCTCTGAGATGCACTGGAATCAATCTGCACAGCACAGACACCCCTCCTGCAGGGCTTGCAGGGTGTTTGGCCCCTGGAGCATGGCCAGGGCTACCAGCCTGCAGAAACACCCCTGTGCCAAACTGAGTTGTTCCCAGCTCTGCATCACACCCTGTCCTGGTTTAAATCTTCCCTGGCAGTGGGAGAAGTGTCCCATTACCAGCACTAGGACAGCTGATCACCCCATTCAGAGGAACCACTCTGGGGTGGCTGGCAGAGCTGACCATCATTCTTACCTCCCACTTCCCTGCCAGCACTGGGAGATGCCCTGGGATGGTGCAGGTGCACAGAGAGCCCAACTCAGACCATGTTGGTCACTGACAGCTACTGGATGGCAGCTGCTTTTCACTACTAGAAGTGTACTCAGACACCCACACTTGTTCCCTCCTTGACACTTGCTGTTTTTTCTGCCCAGATAAAGAGCAATACCCATGTCTTCTAAATCCACCCCTCGTCTTGTCATTTTCTTGGAGCTGGCCCTGTTCCTGTGACACAGATCACCACTGCTGAAGAAAAGACAGAGAAGTGACTAAGAAAAGAGCTCATGTCAGCCCCATTAGCTTCACAGGAATAAATACAGGATTGGATAAAAAGAAATGCAAAATCAGCAGCACTCTGAGAATGGCCTTGGGCTTTTCTGATGCTTTCGGTCTTTGATGTGTGTGCCAGCAACTTAAAATCCCCCATGAGAATTGACATTTCCATCATACCTTTCATTCTGGCTCAAAGGCAGGTTCCCAGGCATCTTAAGGAATAAAATCCCTACTCCCATGATTTCCAGGCCATCTGCCTCTTGCACCTGTAGCCCCACTTTGCCAGTGAGGCCGAGCACTCCCAGTGCTCTCACCCCACAGGGCAGAACTGTTTGTGCTGCTTTGCAGGTAGCAGCTACAGCTCAGAACAAGACTGAGGTTTCAGAGCTGAGGGAGTCCTTTTCCAGGTCCACCCAATGACGTTTTCCCTATAGGATCCTGCAGAATACTGGAGATGCAGGATATAGATGGCAGTGCTGACCTCACCCCTGTCCCCTCCCAAGATAAGGTTAAAGATAAGAAGTTCAGGACTCCAAACTCCTGCTTGCAGGCAAACCTCTTCTCCAATTGGATGTCAGGATGAAGAGTCAAACTGGAAGTTTGACTGTTTTGACTGTGATTGCACAGCCTGGGGACAGTAAACCCATCACTCAGTAACAACAGAGAGGAGGTTTGTGGCCAGAGGAAGAGCTCTGGGTGCAGTGAGCACCCGACATAGAGGGGCCAGGCCCCCAGAATTGGCCAGGTACAGAACATCTGTGAGTACAAGCAGGGGGAGGGCAACAAGGCAATGTGCAATGGAGGGAAATATGGGTCTGAAGTGAGCCCCCCTGCCTGGCTGCCACACCCAGTCACAATGTGTTACATAAGGCACAAATTAATTTTGATTAAATATTTAACAGCAGAGGAAGCTCTTTTAAGTGTGGAGATGAAATGGTTTGCAGTTTGCAGCAAAAGACGCCTCCAGAGCTGGCATCTGAGGCTGCTGCAAGAAAATGGGTGTTGCCAGTAGCAGGAAAGCAAGAAATAGCTGCTTCATTTTGGAGATACCAAGGCCTAAGTTTGTTTAGGCAGGCTGTTCCTACATGATCCAAATTCTCTCCAAATTCCCTCTGTCTGCTAGTGGGAGTATTTTACTACAGTGTCTGTCTCAAGCCCTGTGCCCTTGGCTTTCACCCTTCCTGCTGCTGAGGTCCTGTAAAGAGCATGGGTGCAGCAGCAATACTTTGAAGGAATTTCTAAAATCTAGTGAGGGTTAAGGACAGCAGGGAAGAATCTGTGCATGGAGACCACATTCAGAAACCAAATTCTCCTCTCACTTTTGCCTTCTGGGCTTTGGCATGTGGCTTTCACAGAGCTGATGCCGGACTCCCTTGTTCTCTGAAATGCAATTTCTGCTTTCTGGCAGCGTGTTAGATGGGTCCAGGAGATAATTAGCAAGCCCAGCCATACAGAGAGCTTGGAGCATCTGCCAGGTTTTAATTACATTTGGGCTGTTATGGAGATGTGGTACAGGAGATGGAGAGGACCTGCAGTACTGGAGACAGATCACACACCAGGTGTTTGTCCCCATTGCCAAACCAGAGGGTCACACACGAACAAACAGTAATTACATCCCCAGCTACTCTCAGTGAGACCCCCATCCAGCAGGTACAAACCTGAGCCACCTGTGAGCTGGTAAAGCAAAAAGGATAAGATACATCTCTTCCAGCATTGCTGTTCCAGTACTCAGGCAGAGCCCATACAGAAATGTGGAAGGAGAAAGCTCATTGTGAGTCCATGGACTCAATGTGAGCAGCTGGAGGGAGCAGGAGACATCCAGCCCAAGCCCTGTCTGGATTTTGTGCTTAACTAAACTGCTGAAGGTGAAGCTGGGAGGCAGCCTGCCCTCTGCATCCATGCCTGTGTGTTCCTTGGAGTGCCTGATGCCTTGTACCAGGAAGGGATGCAGTCCCCAGCTGTGCAGTCACCCAGAGACTCTTTCAGCTGCCCAGGTGATGCTCAGACAAGTTTGCCACCCTGAAAGGAAGGGGCTCCTTTCCTGCAAAATCCTGTCTCAGGTTTGCAGCCAACAGCCTGCACCCACTGACTCTGCCCTACTCTGCCTAACCAAACTAGGAAGATAAGCTCTTGCAGACTTACTCTGGGAGTTATAAATTAAAAGCTCAAAAGCTGGAGGATAAGATTTCTGCAGCAGGGACTAGCATAACTACTGCACAATTTTCAGTCCTGTATATCCTAGAGGGAATTTAGTTTTAGCACCATTTTACAGTTGTATAGATCACTCCCACTTAACGAGCAGAATACATTCTAGAGTGTTGTATAACTCCAGCTTCACTTTCTCATTAAATTGATGTTTAGTGTGTAAAGAGTAATGGATTAAGTAGTGCTTTATACAGACACAGACCTTCTAGGCTATCAGTGCCATTTCTGTGGCATTTTGACAGATGCAGAACTTTTAGATGTTACTAATTCTTGTTTTCAGAATTCTTGGGGCCTCCTGTCGTGCTGAATTCAAGAGAACTGTCACTGTGCGCTGCCAGAGCAGGGTGGGACCCAGAGGCTGTGTTATTTTTTGAGGGCCAGACACACTGGGCTGCAGTTCAGAGCAGAGAGGGAGAAGGGTATCAGGTGAAGAGAGCCTTTGTCTGGAGAGCTGGGTCACAGTCTGCTGCTGTGATCAGGAAGCTCTGGATTACAGCTGAACTGTCTTGGCAAGGCCGTGTCAGGGAACCTTAATGTATCTTCCACTTGCATCATTCCCAGAGCTGGCTACTTCAGTGTAACTACTTCCTCTCCTGAATGCAAAGGATCAAACCTGAATCCACAAAGCAGGCAGGCAGTAAGCACAGCTTCACAATTGTGACAAAAAGCCCCCCGGATTTTTCACACAGTGGCTGGTTCTGGAAGAGCAAAGGCAGTTGTGTGTATGGAGTTAACTCCCAAACCACTGCACAAAAGGCCTTTCCTTTTCACAAACCTCACCACAGCTTTACTTTGCTCATCTGAGTGAATTTCATCATGGCTAATCCAAAGTGGGTGGAGAGCAGAGCATCCCTTCTGGGCTTATTGCTCCCTTTTTATTGATGTGCATTGGCCAGACATTGCAGCATTAGATGCACTTTTAAAATGCAGTGAAAGCACTCGTGTCTAGAGGACTTCAAGGAAACAGCTCTAAAGGGCTTCAAATCTTTTTTTTTTTTCCCCCTGAAAACATCACTCAGCACTGAGGCTGACAGTTCTGGCAGATGAGATCCCAGCCTTCACATGGCATGAGGGGAATATTAACTACAGCTTCATGTCACCCTTATGCAACAGGGTAAACAGGCACCATCATTCCTGCTTTGGGGACAGACAGCCACGTCACTTAACTAAAGCCACATGGTAAACATCATATGGGAGCACAGAACTGCCCCACACTCTGCTTCCAAGAAGCTGCTGCTCACAGAGATGTCAGATGGACAGACATGAGCTGGGGGATGAGTTGTGGACAGGGGCAGGAATTGTGCCTTTATCTTACAGCGCAGAGCATCCCAAACACCCCCCCGGGTGGGGAGGAGGGCTCCCAGCAGCACAGAGAGCCCCATACATTTGGAAAGGCTGTCAGAGGTGGCAGAAAGGGTCACCCAGCAGCTCGAGGGTGCCTTGTCAGAGTCAGGAGTAAAAAGGCCAAGACTGGCAGCTAAGAGGAGCAGGCACTGATGGAGAGAAGTGAGCAAAACAACAGAGGCTGGGTGGCAGGTGGTAAAAGCAACCAGCTAAAAGCAATCAGCAGAGACCTTGTGCCTTTGTGACTTCCCCAGCTGAAGGTCTGACAAGGACAGGGGTCATTGCATGGTATTTACAGCAAGGAGGCAGCATCATTCCCTGCTTTGCTAGGATAGGCCTAAATCCCTAAAAGGGAAATAATCTGAGGCCTTGGACAGGTTAAGTAGAAACAGGAGGAAGGCCAAGGGTTCACAATTCTCTTGAACCTTCAAGGACAAAGTGACAGCAGAGGCAGGAAGAGAGAGGCACTCAGCTGCATCAACAACTCCAGATTTCCATGTCCCAGCCCAGCTGCAGAGGGGGGAGACAGGACAGAGGCTTCCTTTGCCTCAACCCACTGCTGGCCAAAAGAGCTGGGGCACAAGGATGGAGACGTGACCATGGCAGTGACCTCTGCCTCCATCTTCACTGCAGGGCCATCAGCTGGGGCTGGGTTAGCCTGGGTCAGTACCT